GGTGAGCACGTAAGTGAGACAAGATGTCAATGACGAGTTCAAAGCCTCAGATCCCCGAGAGTGGACGAGAGGAGCCGTCGAGCTCCACATAACTCGGATCTGCCCGATCTTACTGCCAGCACCAGGTGGCCGAGAGCGGAGCGTGTCGCTGGCCTCGACGTCGAGGGTGATGAAGGTGCACGAGCGGCCACGGAGTCGCCGAAGCCTCTTGTGTGACGATCAGGAGATCGCCAAATTCCATTTTTGTCACGCCCTCCTCCTCGCTCCCGCGGTCGCCCACTTCGCCTTTCTGCGGCCCTTGTGCCGTTGAACAACTGGCCGTCTGGGCCATGAGGTTCCCGCACGCAGCTCCTGGGCCTCTTTTTCTCTGTCCGCGCCCGCCTCTGCTCTGCTTCTCCCTGCTGTTCAACACACGCGAGATTCCTGAGGCCACGGCCTCGCCCACCCGGTCTTGAGTAGGCCCGGACGCTTGCCGCAACGGTGGTCGCATCGCATCGCATCGCTGTTCAACACATTCTCGGCACGTTTCGAGAGGCAGCCACATGGGCATCAGGTTTGCTTTGCGCTGTCGTTGAGAGAAGAACGGGGATCTGGATGTAGCTTGAGAAGAACGAGAAGGTTGAGTCCAAGAAGTCCTGCCCAAGCCAACCGGACACGATTCATCCCCACGGACGCCGGGCTTCTGAGGGCTTTTCATGAGAGGCGGTCTGCGTGCCCAGCCGTCGGAGCGGGAACGGCCCCTGGAGATAGCCATGCCCGTCAGGACAGCAAGGAGAGAAGTAGAAATGCACGTTGTGCATCCGCCCGTGTCTGCTCAGCTTGCCGCATCAATGGTGGCGTGATGCTACTAGTCGATGGTGCGGTGGCGACTGCGACCGCGTGATTGATCTCTGCCGTGTCAATGTCGCTCCCGCCTGGGACGCCGACGGCTCCTCCTGCCCTCTGGGTCTCGGGCTTCTCGTCGGTGTGCTGCGCCTTTGCGCAGCTGGGCATGCCCTCGGCGAGCTTTTCGGCCACGGTGGGCGAGAATCTGCCCATCATGCTGAGCGCTCCGCACTTGATTCTCGCCAGCGGCTGTGCCACATCGGAAGCGGCTGCATTAAACCCATCCTTCAACCAGACGGTAGTCCGTCTGCTCAAGTGGCGGGCATGTTGGCCAGATTGTTGGCCGCCTGCGACGATGGGACGAGGGGCAATTGCCAGCTGAGAAAGTTGTTTCGGCGCCTCATGCAGAGGTGGGGATGGGAAGGGCAGGTGAGGACAGAGAACGCCTGCTGATCCTCCAAGAGTCAGCGCCGACATGCGCATGCCGCATACGGTTTCTCGATCACTTGTGAGTAGTAGTTGCCTTGCGCTTGCAAATCTCAAGGCCGCAACTGCAGGACGGCATGTGGGCGCTCTGGAGGCTAAGGGAGGGGAACGAGGTGAATGAGTGGCTGGTTGTCTTATATCTGTCGGATCCCGAACAGACATCTCCACCTTCAGACCCTGGAGGGTTTTGGGCTGACCAGCATCGCCGCCACCACCGTCACCACCACCCGTCCCCAGCTCCAGCAGAGAATCAGGAGGATAACAATGGAGGAAGAGGAGGACGAGGACGAGGCAGAAGGTAAGGCACCGTCCCACTGCGGAAGCAGGGTGCTGCGTCTCAAGGTCGCATCCGCGGGGGATGCTGCTGGCGGTGGCGGCGAGCGGCGGCGCCTCAGCCTGTGCCCCCCCTGGTCAGGGGCATCGACTTCCTCGCGAGAGCTGACGCGCTTCAGGCGCGCGCGCCCCGCGCGCCCGCGCCCGCGCCCGCGCCCGCGCCCGCCAGACGGCCGTCTTCTAAGGTGGCCCTGACGTTCACCTGCATCGCAAGGTCGGCCTCGCGGGCGCCGCCTTCGGACCTGCAGTTTCCCTGGCCGCGGCCCAGGCTGCTGGGCACAGCGGCGCATCCGTTTCCGCGCCGAGCTTTTCGCGAGAGCCGGCCATGGGGTGCCCAGATCCAGATCATCGCAGTGGGCACAACCAGTGAGAAACCAACCTGCCAGCCGTCGGCACTCCCCCCCGCACAGCTTGAGTCGTGAAAGAATCACGACGGGAGGGTTTTGTCAGTTCCGGGTCCTGGGGGCCCTCGCCAGGCCCCGGGAATGCAAACAAACGGCTCGGGATACATCAGTTTGCCCCATGGAGAAAAGGGTTGGGAGTTCTGGGGGCTCCGTACTGTCTGGGCCTGGAGCTCGGAGGAGAGGCAAAGGCCACCGCCACCGAGAACTCTGGGGGGGGGGGGGCGGTCGACCCCTGGGCGGTGGCACGCCCAAGCGCCATCCAGAGCCGCACGACGCACGGGCCCTGACATCCACCGGAGAATGTTTTGTCAGTGCGCGGCCCCGCAGGTCCCCCGACCTCCTCCCCGGAGCCAGTTTTCCGCTCCGATTCCGATTCCGTTTTTGATGGCCCTGGGGCCCACCAGTGGCTCCCAGAGGCCGAAATCTAGGACCAAGAGAACCGACAGAAAAAGTCACACCGTCGGAGATCCTGGGGCCCAGTAGCGGCCCCCAGAGGCCGAAGGCTAAGCAAAACGCCCGGAATTACAAAATCACATCGTTGGAGATCCTGTGGGGCGTGTCGCCGCCCAGCCCCAGCCCCCCGACGGGCTCTCGGTGGCGGTGGTCTCCTGCTCCTTTCCTCCCCGGCGATCTTCATGGAGCCGCCGGCGCGGCGGGGCCCCAGGCCGGAGCCCGAGGCACCAACCGGGGCCCGCGAGGACATCAGGCATCCCTCCTGGAGGCAGGGGGCGGGGAGGAGGAGGACGAAGGAGGAGGAGGAAGGAGGAGGAGGAGGAGGAGGACCAGCGTAAAACCAAGACGCATCAACGATGTTGCAATAAACCCTCCCTCCAAGTTTCCTCTACGGAGGTCCCTACAAGACGTTGTTTGCATTGCGGGAAGTGCCCCATTGAAAGACAATCGTCTGAGAAGCATCAACCGCGCCAGTTCCAATTCCCGGGACTCCAACACCGCGAATCAACGTGTCTGTTGCGTCCCAACAATCCTTACATAAGCGTGCCAGAACATCATTCAAGGGACTCCAACACCGCGAATCACCGTGACTGTTGTGCCCAGATATTCTTACATCGTGCCAGAGCACCATTCCTGTGACTTCAACCATACGGTTCCTTGAAACTGCTGGAAGGTTTAGAGAAGCATGTGCATGGCGCTAAGGCGCGGGCGACAGTTTGAAAAGGAGCCGTCCTCCATCCTTCAAGCTGCTGCGAACTTTTTAGAGGAATTCGCGCAGCGTCATGGCGACAGCCACATTTCGAACACGAGCCGCCCTCCATCTTTGAAGCTGTTGCGGATTCTTGAGACGAGTGCGCGCGGCGTCAAGCGCTAAGGCGAGAGCCCCAGTGTACGAGCCGCCCTCAATTCTTGAGCTGTTGCAGATTTCAAGTTTCAGGATCATACATGGCGTGGAAGTCTCGGGCGAAACGCCCGGCCCGGCCAACCGACACGTCTGGGGCTGCGACAGGGAGGCGTTCTCTATAAGAAGTAGCGGAGGAGGAGGAGGCGGAGGAGGAGGAGGAGGGCCGAAGCCGGCGGCCCTCGGCGGCGCGCCGCCACGCTCGGTGGCCCGCTGCCTCTCGGGAGGCTCTGGTGGGGGAAGAGGCTGCAGCCCGCGGCCTGCTCGGCCAAGCGCGGCCCTTCGTCGGCCCGCTCTCCGGGTCGGCGGTGAAGCGTTTGGGGTCGGTGGAAGGGCGCGCTGCCAAAAGAGGCACCCAAGATCGCCCCAAGGCAGCCCAAGGGGCCCCTAAGAGGGCCCCAAAACGGCCCAAGAGGGCCCCAAGACGGGCCAAGAGGCCTCCAAGAGGTTCCAGAGGCCCCCAAGAGGGTCCCCAGAGGGAACCCCCAGATTGAGTCTTCGAGCCCTTCCCCCAAAGTGGCCTCCGAGACTGCCAGAAGGCCTCAAAGAGGCTTCCAGAGGCTTCCAATACCCCCCCCCCCGAAACAGGCTCCAGGAGGCCCTGCTGCTTCGTTCGTGCACAACGCAGTGGAGCCCAATGTGTAGCGTTGCGGCAAGCTCTTGACTTAAATCCGTGCGTGCAGCGCTGCACCACCCGCACCTCAGCAGCGTGAAAAGGTGTTCGTCGACCTGCAACCGTCGGCGGAGCTTGCGACAAGACGCATCTTGCTTAGATTCCCGCCTTCACCACTCTTCGGGGGAGAGCCTCCTCGCCGCCGGGCGCGGCTTGTGCGCGGCCTGCGGCGCCCAGTCTGGGGTCCAACATACGGCCGGCGGATTCTTCACACGTCGTAAGAGCATTTGCGCCAAACAGGGAGGTGATCCAACATGCGTTTGGCGCGCGTGCATTTGTTGTTGCTGCGTTAACGCGTGCAAGCCCCCACGGGAGGTATCCAACACGTGGCGCAGCGGATCCTCTGCACTTGGAGATACGCGTCAAAGGGGGTATCCGGGTATCTAACAAGCGCCTCGCACTCGTCCATGAGGCACGTCTTCTCACGTGTGCCAGCCTTCTAAGGGGGGTCACGGTCCTGGGCGGGGCCCGCGAGTCTGGTATTTTTCGTGGCGGCGGGGGAGGGCCCGCAGGTGCGATGGACGAGGCTGGGGCAGGCGCCCGCCCAGTCCTGGGCTTCGGGCGGGCTGGCCCTTTCAAGTTTGGCGTTTCTCCTCCGTTTTTGTCTCTGGGGGCTGTCTTCGGGCCTTGGGGCCATCAGAAAGTTGTTCCAGGGTGAAAAGCTGGCCGTGGTGAAGGGGTCTACTTTCGGGAGCCCGCGGAGTGAAAATGTCATGATGCCTCCCGCTGTGTACACATCCCTCGTCCAAGGTGTGGATTTGTACTCATTGTGTTCGTGTGTGTTCAAGATCCAGGCAGTCAGAGAGTGCTGCATCATCCGTGTGAGTAGGGGAACTGCTGCCGGGTGTTCTACTTTCTTCTTCGGCTGCCATCCTTGAGTCCCCTCAGAGCTATTTTCGGGCAAGGCATTCGCAATTTGGCAACGATGAGCGACGGTCAGGCGCGTCGTCGCGATGAGGCCGATGCTCTCTTGGCAATTTTCGGTGAGGATTTCCTCGAATTGTCTGGCAACTCAGAGTGGCGATTTCAATATCGTGCAGATTCAGAAACAGCTGTCGCTACCCTGATTTGTCATCTGCCAGACGACTACCCGTCGTGCTCGCCGCCAGTGCTGGTTCTGGATGGACCTCGTAGACCAACTGAGGATTCAGAAGCTTGCGGTCAGTTCCTCACGAGTTTTGTGCCCGGACAGGAATTCGGGTTAAGGTTGGGCGAGTTTTTTTTTTTTTTGAATTCTGCAGTGACAACTACAATGTTGGAGATTCGTCCGATGTGCAAGTTCGAGGTGCTGCTGGTACAGAGAGCCAGCAGGCATCACACGTCACTGAGGCACAGGCTACGCCCGCTACTGATACCGGTATCATTACCGAGGCAGTGGTCGACCTTGGATCAGATTGTGGCGTGGTGAAGGGGTTATGCCTGTCTCTTATCGACTTCTCAGGTTCTTGTGGATCTGCAGCAAGTGGTGGTTTCCAACATTACGGCGATGGAATTTTCGTCCATGGTGAGTTGGGCATCGGCGTCGAGGTTAAAGACACGCAAGGTGTTGGGATTGACATGATCAGTCCCAGCAAACCATGTTCGGTGAAAGAGCCGCAGCCGAATATTCAGGCATTTCAGCTGCACATCAGCGTCGACGGTCTTGATGCAGAGGAAGTTTCTGCTTGGGCGAGCAAGGAAATCGAAGCCTTCCTAGAAGGTTCGTCTACAACAGCAGCGTGTCTAGAGAAGAAAACCAGCTTCGGATCAAAACTTGCCCAATGGGCGGATTCTCAGCGATCTGTTGGGGAGAAGCGATATGGTTCAGTAGATGGCATTGTTGATGGTGATTGTGGAGCAGATGCTGGTGAATCACAAAAGTTGACGGGTAATGCCGCCTGGAAAGCCCGCTTGCAAGCGGGGGAGGTAGTACAGTTCCGTGGTGGTGGAAATAGCTTGCATCCGCGAATCAAGTCAGGAGAGTGTTGCAAATATGAACCGGTGTTTAAGCACGACGATGTGAAGGAAAAAGACATAGTGTTTTGCCAGATCAAGGGTCGGTACTGGGGGCACATGGTCAAGAAGAAAACTTTCGTCGGCGGGGAGAAGGAATACGAGTACACCATTTCCAATATACATGGGTGGGAAAATGGGACAATTTGTCTAGATCACATTTATGGAAAGGTTATAGACCATTGGAAGTAACTGTCCAATGTGTCTTACGTGCGGAGAGATTCAAGAGCCATCAAGACCGTGCAGAGGCTACCCCCCCTGGCAACCTCTCGAGGGGCTGCGGATCTGACCTGGTGTACGGTAGGAGGTGGACGGGGAGGGCCTTGTCGATGACTGCGCTTCTTAGCATCAGAAGAGGGCGAGCTGAGACAAAGTCAGTTGGCCTTTGGGGGTCGCCGTCGTCGCCACGGCTGGACGCAGCTGGGAAAAGTGCCGAGTTTGGACCTCGGGAAGAATGTGGAGATGTATTTAGGGCTGCCGTTGTCTCGACTCGCCCTGCTCCGATGACAGTGCACGGAGCGGGCAACCCTGGCTGGTGCGGCCGCCACAGTTTCAGGCCCCAAGGTGTAAGGGTGGTGCAGGTGCTGTCCGAGGAGCCGGACTGGAGCAGGCTGCGTGCGAAGCGAACGCAGCTTGTCAATGCGAGATCTTACCGCCGTTGTCGAAGACCTCGCATCTTTAGGGGCTATTTCCGTGTCCACACACGCCGGCGAGGTCCGACCATTCATCCGATAAGGACCTAGAGATGGATTTGCGTGTGCAGTGGATGAACAATTCAGAGGCGCCAAGGTGGGAGGGGGGAGGAGGAAAAGACACAAACAGTCACTGAAACAACAGCCGATGGTGGACCGTCACAGCGTAAACTACGACATGTTAACAAGCGTGGCGAGCGAATGCGCTTCACACTCATAGTAGCTAGAGGTACCAGGTAAGTGGTGTTATCATCACGGCTTCATTCGAACGTATATGGTCTCAGATGAACATTAAGGGTAAGTTCTGGAATGGTAGCGCAGCGCGTGGAACGGTAGCGCTGTAGGTACACGTTCGCATATGCCAGCCCTCCAAATATCGACGAAACCACGTGCGCATAGGACAACTGGTATCCAGTTTCAAGCCGCGCAAACCATGCGCCATGATGCCATATGTATCGCATTTCTTCTTCAATTGGAGGACTTGTGAGGGACTCCCTGTGCCAGAATCTACTTCTTCTCATGCCTCTCATTGGTTTGCCTCTGCCTGTGGTTCCCGCTTTCTCTTGCCACTGTGGATTCAATGTTGCCAGCCCAGTTTTCTAGTGCTCACGCTCGTGGAGCCCTCTTGGGCCGCATGGGGTCTGTCTTGAGGCAGCCTTCGGCCATGTTGCGGCCATCTTGCGCCGCCTTGGAAGCATTTTGGGCCATTCTAGTGGCCTTGGTTGCATGCCTTGGCCGTCGTGGTAGCCATGTCGGGCGTACTGGAGGGTTGAAGAGCGCCATGGGGGGATGCATGCAGGTGGACGTGTCGAGGAGGGGGGGCGGCCCCTCAGAAGACTCACAAAAACCTTTCCAGCCTGCACTGAGCGTTCTATTACACCTCAACGTGCCAGGGGGCACGGTGGCGGATCCGCCGCCTGGGGATCAGATGCCCCAGGGTCCCAGGAGGCAGTGGATATGGATGGTTTCGGGCCCTCGGAATTTTCCACAACGTTGGCCCCTGGAAGTCTCGACGCCTTCCCCAGGATGTCTTTCTTACCCAGACCAGTTTTTGGTAGCCCTTGGGCCAGGCCAGGGCCCCTGGATCGGCTAAACGTACGTGTGACCTTTCGCCGGAGTGACCTTTGGTGCGGGCTCACTGGGGTCCCCAGATGGCTGAACGAGGTGCGATAACTAGCAGCGGCTCGCGCGATCCAGTTCGGCCTCCCCGCGGCCCCCGAAAGTCGCGTACCAAAGGTCACTCTTGCCAGGGTCATTATTACGTGTAGCCGACTGGAAGTCGTGAAGTCTGCCGCCGTGAAGTCTCTTGCGTCTCGAGTTTCGATCCCCAGAAATCCGACGAGATGTTTTTTTTTCAATCTGTGGCGTCAGAGGTTCCGACCTTTTTTCCCGGGGGTAGGTTTTAGCCTCGGATCCTATATGTTGATGGTCCCGGGGCCAAATGCCGGCCCCGAGAGAGTCCGAAATCGAGAAAACCGCCTGGACTGAAAAATCGTATCGGCAGAGATCTGTGACGAATCTACTGGTACCGCTACTCCTCACCTCTCCTGGGGTGCATTCTGACCAGAATTTCGAGGAGAATCCCGTTGTGGCGACGAGGGCTCTCCAGGAGGAGAATCCAGTTGTGGCGACGGGGGCTTGTATCTCCCTTCCTCTGAGCCTCGACATTCTAGATGTTCGCTTTGGGGACCTCCCTGGGGGCTACCTGACAGGTCTGCTCGTCTCTAGTCAGGATCTGATTCGACTCGAGTTCGACTCAAGATCGACCTAAGGTCGATTCAAGTTCAACCAAAGTTCGACCCAAGTCGACGGACGTTCGACGCAGCATGGACGCGTGAGTGGAGTGAGTGGCTCCAGGAAGGTCCCCACAACGAGCATCCAACGATCCTCAGTCGTGGCTGGCCCGCCCGCCGCGAGCGCCTGGCGCCGCCGCAATGGGGCGCCGGGCGCGGCTCGCCGGGCTGGAGCGCGCCGGCAGCGAGGTGGAGCTGGGGACCGCTGCAACGAGGAGGAGCGTCGAGGCCGAGGAACAACCACGAGGAGGAGGAGGAGGAGGAGGAGGAGGAGGAGGAGGAGGAGGAGGAGGAGGAGGAGGAGGAGGAGGAGGAGGAGGAGCGATGAGGAGGAGGAGGAGGAGGAGGAGGACGAGGAGGAGCGAGGTGGAGCTGGAGCTCGCGGCGTGCGCCGCGGCCGCCAAGCTGAAGTCGGAGATGTCGCGACCCTCGGATGCTGCACGCCATGCGATCCACAGGGGGCATCTGCGGCAGGTCTGCACAGACGCCTCCTCCCTGAGATCCTGGCGCTGCATTCTTTAACAAAGGGCGATCTTGCGATGTTTCGGGTAGAGGCGTGATAACACATGGTGGGGGCTGTGATTCACGGACCAAAATTTGCGTTGTTTCGGGCAGCTTTCCCTCGATTTCGGCCCCTGGGGCCCATGACTGGGCCCCAGGGCCACCAACAACGGATCCGGGGAGAAAAAATGCACCCGGGGTAATGGGTCAGGACTGCTCCTTCGGACCGTGCATTGAAACATCGTATCGTGGGATGCGTTTTCGCTCGGTTTCGGGCCCCAGGGCCCTCCCGGATCGATCCGGCTTGAGAGATGCTGCAGAAAGATAGGGTCCAGGGCTCTGGCCGAGTTCTTCCGTGACGTAGGATCTCAGGGTGGCGGCGGCCCCAGCGCGGGGGTTCAAGGCCGTGCTCCGCCATTGGCCTGGAGTCGGCCGGCACCGAGCGACTTGCGCAGTCGGCAAGCCGTGATCGTTCAAGGCTGAACGATCTACGCGGTGTCAGAGACCAACGCCGACATCATCACGGCACGAGCCCGCCGCGCACCACCATCTTGCTTGGCCAAGGCCATCGTGGGCCCCAGGGTGGTGTATAGACCTTGGCTTCGGCTGGAGGGCATTATCCAGGGGCCCAGGATGGCTCTGACCAGGCACGGTCTGTGGTACATAGATGTCTTCTGTGTTTGTGTGTGTGTGTGTGTTTGTGTGACTGAGTAGCTCTCTCAAGGATGCAGTAACCGCGGAGAACCCTCTGGATGCCTCCACAGGCCTCTGCAGATGCCTCTGGGGGTCTTCAGTGCGACCTCCGTAAATGGCGGCGGGGTCTTGCGCCGCAGCGCACTCAGTTGGAGATGCGGTTGCCCTCGGCGCTGGAGGGATTCCCGTCGCCCAAGTTAGGCCAGAACTCACATGTTCGCCTCTAGACTTACGTATGTGTTTTTGATTATTGGGCCCCTTCGTGTCCACGTTCCCAGGAGAGGTCCAGGGCCAGAACCGATTTTGAATAAACATGTGCCTCAGATTCGCGCCGCCTTCGAGGGATCGAAAGGTTGACTCCTTCTCCGCTGTGGAGGGTGGCAAGTCAGCAGAAGCCGGCAGAGGCAACACGAGGGGGGCTCCGCCGGCTGAACGCCAAGCGAAAGCAAATGTTGCCTCCCCAATGGACAGTGGATGCTCGTGTTTGTTCGGGGAGGTCCAGAATTGGCAGGCTGGAGTCAGACGATCTCGCCGTATGGCCAATCCATCGGCGATGCGGCGCGACGCGGAACACGACGTTCTCCATCCTGGCGTCGCCGATGCAGTCCTCTGTGAATAAGTGATGGGGTGCGTTGCTCCGACCCCGCCTGCCCAAGCCCCGTGTTGGCGGCCTGTGTGGAAGGGTCTCTCTGGTTGGAGGCTGCAGCGTAGGCTCTACCTCCAGATCATTGTTCCAAGGGCATCGTCTCTCCGCCGACAGTTCTTTGAAAGGTAGCCTCTGCAAGTAGGAATATCTCCCTGTAGCATTCTCATGCTCATTCTCATTGTCACTTCGTCTCTCACTAATTATATCGGAGAATATGTCTTCGTATCCTCCGTCTGTGTACGAATGTCCACGCGTACGCGATGCTCGTATGTGATTATCTAGAGACTTCCACCAACCCATGGATGGGCTTTCTGATGGTATCCTCTGACTGTGAACTTTCTGTCTACGAGTAGCCTCTGTCCATAAAACATTGTATCGAAGACGCCTTCGGCAAAGCACCGCCGCCCCCTGCATTTGGAAGCGCGTCGATACGGATAGCCCAGGAGGACTTGATGCCACTTCACTCAGTGCCTCGCGGCACGGATGTGGATATATTAATATCTTCTCATCGTGCCCATCATTATTGTTTATCCTTTTGCCATGATCCTTCTTCTACTCCTGCTAATGCTGCTGTTGCTGCTCCGCCCCCACTGTGCCCCCAGTGTGCCCGAGCCTGATAAGGATCCGACTTGGGTATTGCAGGGAAATGTGCTACAGTGCAGCCCTGCAGGGAGGGAGAGGGACGAAGAGAGACGAGAGCAGGACATACTGGCAAACGGTACACGGGAAGGCTGAACCGCGAGTGTGGCCAAACTTCCTACATGGATAGGACCACGTGTGCTTGGCGAATTATTTTCCCTCGAGGGCAAACCTTACTCGTTGCCGCTGAATATTCTATCTTGGACGCGTCAGGTCCTAACATACTTCAAGTTCCATCATATTCCGGCAATCGATCTGCCTTCCTGTTTCCTTCCTTTGTCGGCCACTGGCTGAAGCCCAGTCCACCTTATACTGCGTAGTGTGTCTACCTGCTTCTTCCGACCGGCGTGTAAGCAAACAGGCAAGAATCACTTCTTTTTTGGCTTGGGTTGGATTTCCCCTTTCCTTGCGATCCCTCCCTTCTCTCCCTGCTTCACTCTTCCGCGGACGTTTTGAGCGCACCGTACCCATTTGGCGTCTCTGGAGGCGTCGTCGGCCCTCGACCTAGAACTGGTACGGGGCACAGTCTTCCAGCCCTCATTGCCGAAAAGCTGCGCACCGTGCCGCGTTGGAGTGGAGCCGAAAGGGGAGTCCAAACATGGTGCAGTGCATGGGTGCCGTTTTCGTGCTCTTCCCTCTTGTGCAGCTCAGGTCCCTCCGCTTCCCCCAGCAGTACCGCGGGATCACGCTCGGGGAGCTCCGGGACTTCTACCACCAGAACAGGGAGTTCATCGAAGAGAAGGCCCGCTGAAGAGCCAGCGACGCCCTCTCAGTTCCCCCCCGTCCGTACGCCAGGCTCGCGCCGTGCCGACGGGGCGGCGACCAGGCCGCGGGCGTCCAGGGCCGAACGCCGCTGGACCGAAGAGCGGTCGGGCGACGGAAGAGCCGCCGATCGTTCAACTCCGCTGTCTGGACCCTGTCAGTGCGGGGCCCCGAGGGCTCCGGACCAGTTTCTCGTCCCGGATCGTTTCTTGCCGCTCCCGGGGCGCGGCGAGAGCTCCGAAAGTAGCGACAAGCCTCCGTCTTGTTTGTCGGCGGTGCGCCAAGGGGGGACATGAGAGGGGGCAGGGCGGCGGGAGATCGGTCCTGTGATATTGCTTCTTCTGTGCTTTCCGAAGGTTTTCTACGATCTCTTCGAACACTGGATCACAGTCACAGAGACATATATAGAGAGAGAGAGAGAGAGAGAGAGAGAGAGAAAGAGAGAGAGAGAGAGAGAGAGAGAAAGAGAGAGAGAGAGCTCTGGGCGCTCCCACAGGACTCCCGCAGGGACTCTTACCAAGACTCTTGCTAGGAGACGTGCTGCGACTTCTGATAAGGCTTCTAGTAGGACTCCTACACACCTACACACTTCAGACGCGCTAGCACACCACTGAGCTATAGAGGGCCAGTGCAAAATGTCAAGGGTTCGAAAATTGAGCCCGCGGAATTTCCTGGCCGCTTCCAAACCGTCGAGTGGCGCGCCAGCGCGGCGCTTCCCCGGCGACAAATTTCAAGGGTACGCGACATCGGGCCCGCTGAATTTCTGCGCAGTTTGCAGAGGGTCGACTGGCGCGCTCGCTCGACGCTTCTCCATCGATGCATTCCGTGGCGAAGGGTCGAGCGGCGCGCTCGCTCGGCGCTTCTCCAGCGATGAGTTCTGAGGGCGCAGGAGTCGAGCCCGCGGAATTTCCGAACAGCGCCCGCAGGCTCAAGTGGCGCGCTCGTTCGCCGCTTCGCCAGCGATGGAATCTGTGGGCATCTTCTAAGAGGTCGAATGGCGCTCGCTCGGCGCTTCCCCGACGAAAAATATTCAAGAGCACTTCCAAAGGGTCGAGTGGCGCGCGCGCTCGCCGCTTCTCCAGCAATGAAATCCGAAGGAACGAGGATCAAACCCGTTGATTTGTCGGGGCAGTTTTAACAGGGTCGAATGGCGCGCTCGCTAGGCGCTTCCCCAGCGATGGTATTGCGAAGCTCCATTCAGACTCTCAGCAGGGAGGCCGACTACGAGTTTCAGTAGTGAGCGATGCTAGGAGTCCTAGTAGGGAGTCCTTGCCAGAGTCCCAGGAGTGGGAGTGTTACTCGTAGAGTTTCGGTGGAGTGCACCACTGATGGTCTTAGTGGTCCTGTTTGAAAGGCGGCGTGTGGAGTCCGACTAAGAGTCTTCGTAAGGAGTCGCATTCAAACGTTCCTAGTCGGGCGATATTCTAGGAGTGCTGGTAGGGAGTCGCACTGGGAGTCTTAGCAGGGGTATCGTTGAGAATCCTGGCCGGGAGCCCGATTCTAAGGACGAGCTCCGCTAGGAGTTTTCGTGCATAATATGTTTAAGCCGCTGGGAGTCCTACTAGGAAGTGTTCCCAGAATATTCTTCTACCGAGAGTCGTGTAATCGGGCCTTGCTAAGGTTCGTTGTAGGGAATCCTGCTAAAAGTCGGAGAAGGGAAATCCGACCAGGGAGTCACACTAAGGGTCTGGGCAGGGATTCGCGCTAATATTCCCATTAGGGAGCATGACTAATGGTACGGTGTGTGTGTGTGTGTGCTAGTAAGAGTTTTAGCAGCGCGTCCTACTAAGAGTCTACGTTGGGGGTCGGGCTTTGATTCCCCGTGGGGGGAGGTCCAACGCAGAGTCCTAATAAGAAGTCGTATTCAGCGTCCTAGCAGGGAGCCCGTCCTACTCAGAGTCTTAGAAGGGAGCCCTGGTATGAGTCCGAATGGAGAGTCGTCCGAAGGGTCCCAGTAGGGAGTCTTGATAAGTCAAGAAGGGTTCCAAGTTCGCTGCTGCTGAACGTCGGCTCCACTCAGCGCGCTTGCATGCATCTGTCGGGGGCGCGTGGGCATCTGTGCCCTGCCGAACTTGCAGCCCGCTTGCAAAAGGGTCGACCAGCGCCTTCGCTCGATCGGCGCTTCCCGAGCGAGAATTCTAAGGGGTCGAAATTCCAGCCCGCGGAGTTTCTGAGCAAATGCCGTGCTCTGACCCCGATGATTGTTCCCCGGGTCCCCACCTTATTCGACCTTCGCTCTAGCCGCTGGGGTATAGAGAACCCGTGCGACATGTCAAGTTCTCAGAAATTGGATCCTGCGGTGCATTCCGAGGGCACGAGAACCAAACCCGCAGATTTCTGGGAAGCTATCACCGGGTCGAATGCCACGCTCGCTCGGCGCTTTCCAACAACAAATTAGGAGGGTACGATAATCGAACCCGCGGAATTTCCAGGCAATTTCCAAAGGGTCGAGTGGCGCGCTCGCTCGGCACCTTTCTCAACATGCAGAGAGCGCGATAATCCAGCCATCGGAATTTATGAGCAGTTAACACAGGGTCGAATGGCGCGCTTGCTCCGAACTTCTCCAGCACTGAACTCCGAGAGCGCGAGAATCCAGCCCGCGGATTTTCCCATTTCCAGAGGTTGAGGTCGGATGGCGCGCTCTTTTGGGATTTTTTCCAGCGATGCATTTCGAGGGCACGGCCATCGAGCCCGGCTGAATTTCTGGCCATTTCCAAAACGGTCGAAGGGCGCGCTCGCTCGGCTTCTACAGCGATGAATTCCGCCGGCTCAACAGCAAAAGCAGCGGAATTTATGCGCAGTTTCCAAAGTGTTCGAATGGCGCGCTCGCGGGGCGTTTTCCAACGATCAGTTCAGACAGCGCGATAATCCAGCCCTCGGGATTTCACAGCATTTCACACAGGGGTTAGTGGCGTGTTCGCTCATATCTTTTCCAGTTATGAACTCCCTGAGCACGAGAACATCATACCCCTCCGAAGCAATGGAACTTCTCCAGCATTTCAAACATGCCAGACATTCCAAACACATTGAAATGCCCAATGCATTCGAAACATTCGAAACATCCTAAAGTTCCCAAGGGCTGGGCGTCCGAAATTCAGGGGGCCAGGAATCCCACAAACTCCAGACCCCCAATCTGAAGCAATTCGAAACTTCCATGCTGTTTGAACTTGTCAAAAGTTTGTGTTTTGAGAGATTCGAAAACAGTTCCCCAGGGCCCAGAGTCTGCATCCTAGGCGACCAGGAAACCCGAAAACCGCAGAAGGGGGATGATGATGATATAAGGATGGTGGTAGAGTGGTGGGTGAGAAGGATGAGGAGGAGGATGAGGATGAGGATGATGAGGATGAGGAGGATGAGGAGGAGGATGAGGAGGAGGAGGGTAAGGATGAGGATTACGGTGAGGATGAGGAGGATGAGGAGGAGAAGGCGGAGGAGGAGGAGGAGGAAGAGGAGGACGAGGAAGATGAAGAGGAGGAGGAGGAGGAGGGGCAGGAGGAGGTGGAGGAGGAGGAGGAGGAGGAGGAAGGGGAGGAGGAGGAACATGGGAGAGGAGGAAGGAGGGATACGAGGTTGGACATCGGTATCCCCTCTTGGTCGCCCGTACCCGCCCCTCTCCCCCTCCCGCCGCCTACGTCCTCCCCTCTTTCCTCCTCCCTCTCTCGGGCACCTCACCAGACATGCTTTGTCTGGATTTTTTGCAACGCAGGGCCCCAGAAACAATTTCATCTCGAGCCGTTTCTTTGACGGTCCCAGGGCTTGACGATGACCCCCAGAGGCGAAAACGGACAAACACTTCCCGTTGTGTTTTTCATATCGCGAGCATGCCTGGGCCTCTCTCGGGCACCTCGAGCGCCCAAGAGGTGTGGCGCTGCTCCTCGTGCGCCACGACTCCATGGGCCTTCAAGTTCTCCGGCGGGCCCGCGGCCCTCCAGCGCGAGTGGTATGACGCAGGCCAGGCGCGGCGGGCATCGTCTGAGATGGTGCTTCCATGAGGGGGGTCAGCGCTAACGGGGCTCAGCCGATCCCCTTCCGAGATCCTACCCAGACATGCTCGCGTCGCGAAAAACAAGGACGAAAACGGCCAAAGACGAACGTCTTATAGACGTCGTCTTTGGCCGTTTTCGACCTTTGGGGGCACTCGCTGGGCCCTGGGACCGTCAGAAAACGATTCGGGATGAAAATCTGGTCGTGGGGAATGGGTCGGGACTTCTGGGGACCCCGTGCTGAAAACCAATGTCGCATGCTTGGGGCCCCCTCCGAGACCCTCTGGCTGACCCGGGTTTGGCAGCCACCTGGAGCCTGCCCCGCTCCCCCGCCTGCTGCTGACCCGGGTTTCGGAGCTACTTCGTGGCCGGCCAGGGTTCGCAACTTGGCCCCGGCTGACCCGGGCTGGTGCGTCCCCGATTCAGGGAGCCTTGGATTGCGGAGGCCTCCAGAGGAGGCCTCTGGAGGCCTCTGGAAGCCTTTGATTCGGGGATGTCGCACCATTTTGGGGCCCCTGGGACCGTCTGGGCCTCATGAGGGGTTCTCTGCTTTGAACTCCTGGGCATGGGCCAGAGACACGTCCGGCAACACCCGACTGCTGACCCCCAGGGACTTCCGGAGGATCGGGGGAGGATCGGGGTCGGGCCTGCTCTTGGCAGGGCCGCGCTTCCCGCAGGAGGGGAACCCCCTGCTGGCGCGAGGAGGCCCATTGACCTTGGAAGCATCCGCAGCCAGCCTGAGGCGGAAGTCTTTCCCTCTGTTGTCTCCCTCTCTCTGATGCGCCACGGGGCGCTGATGCTGATGCAGCAACGACGTCCTCGTAAGGAGCGTCGATGTAAGAACTGTCCTGCTCCCTGTCGCTCCGCCATGTATGTGTCTCCCCCCCCCCACACACGCACGTTTCCAGCTGCTCGGAAATGAAACCGAGGAGGGCGGGCTGGAGGAGATGGCGGAGGAGTTGCCGCCACCAGGCAACCACGCCGTGCGACGACGACGGCGGCAGGAGGGGGCCGGAGGAAGGCGGGCTGGAGGAGGAGGAGGAGGAGGAGGAGGAGGAGGAGGAGGAGGAGGAGGAGGAGGAGGAGGAGGAGGAAGAGGAGGAATTGTCGCCATCAGGCACCCACGCCGGGCGGCGGCAGTACTTCAACCTCGAGGGCGGCACCATCAAGTGGGGCACCTCGTCTGGGAAGGCGGCGTGGGTGCTCTGCCTTGGCAGCGTCCCCACCTACTACAACACTGGCGAAGGAACTCGGGGGGGGGGGGGGCAGAAGGCTACAGTCAAGACTCAGGGGCAACGATAGGGGTGATAGGCTCAGGGGGGATGCATCGATCCTTAATCGCCCATTCATCGCCGATAGGGGCCTAATGGCCCACCCTACCCAGGAACGTGCGGACTCGCTATCGGGGGCCCATCTCCGATCAATCGGCGATATATGTATATATATATATGTATCACCGATTCCAGGTTAATGTTCCACCCCCTATGCCAGTCCCCCCCTTATTGCTGCCCCTGAACACTTGGTATTCATCGGACGTGTGATTTTTTTCGGCGAGGGCAGCGCCAGAACATCTGGGCCATCTTGGAGCAGGCTGGATCACGTTGAGGAAAGCAACGCGCACGAAGTCAAACTGTGCGCGGAGAATGGGCACCCGAGCGATGGCAAGTACAGCCAACACGCTGACATGGGGAGCCGATGGGGTTCGGGAGGGGCTCACTGCTGCATATGTCCTACCATGGTTGGATGTTTGCAGTCGTCGCGAGATGTAATCCTGCGTGCCCTGGGAGTTTCGACGGCCTCGAGCAGTTTACTTCTACCTCTACCTTCCACGGTTCTTCTTCCAGCGCCCCTCGTGCACCCGAGCGCCTCTGGGTCCAAAACGGGGCTTTGTTCCTTGTGCAGTGTTCCGCGTGATCGTAGCTGTACTGCACATGCGCCCAAACTTTCGAACGTCCGCGCGGATTTCTGGGGTCGGCGCTGGACCTTCCCGTCCCCTTGGCGCTCGCCAGGGGCGCCGGAGGCGACTCCTGGGTGGGGTGTTCAGCGCCGACCCAGGAGATCTGCACGGATCTCTGGGCATTGATGTTTGAGGTTTTTGTTCCTGGTCTAGGAAACCACCCGCCCACCATTGGTTGGATCTCGCTGGTGGAGCCTCACCCGGGCCACATCACCATGAAGGATGCCGTGTTCGAGGTGGTGCGCGGCGCCGAATATTGCGCCCGCTGCTACGGCAGGAAGGGGAAGTGGGAGACCAAGAACATGCACGAGGTTGCTGAAGCCAGTCAATATCAGCAGGAGGAGGATGAGGGGGAGGCCGGGAAGGAAGATTAGTGGCAGGGGGGAATGAGCTGGAGGCGATTGAAGAACAATTTGACTCATGACGATGGTGATGATGATGATGATGATGATGATGATGATGATGATGATGATGATGATGATGATGATGCTGATGCTGATACTGATGCTGATGCTGATGCTGATGCTGCTGATTATGATGCTGATGATGATGCTGCTGATGGAGATCATGCCCGTGCTGATGCTGCTGATGATGATGATGATGACGACGACGATGACGATTATGATGACGACGATGACGACGATGATGATGCTGCTGATGTTGATGCTGATGATGACGATGATGACGACGAAGACGATGCTGTTGATGTTGCTGCTCATGATGCTGATGCTGCCGCTGATGGTGATGATGAGGGGGACGGTGATGAGGCTGATGATGATACTGACTATGATGCTGGTGATGATCATGATGCTAATGCTGATGGTGATGATGCTGATGATGCTGATGATGATGCTGATGATGCTGCTGCTGCTGATGGTGATGCTGCTGATGAAGGTGATGATGATGGTGATGCTGTTGTTGATGTTACTGATGATGACGATGATGTTGATGCTGCTGATGATGATTGTGATGCCGTTGTTGTTGATGATGATGACGATGATGATGATGATGATGATGATGATGATGATGATGATGATGATGTTGCTGACGATGGTGACGATGATGCTGCTGTTGATGATGTTGATGCTGGTGATACTGTTGTTGATGATGATGATGATTGTGGTGCTGATGCTGATGCTGATGATGATGCTGTGCTGCTGCTGATTATGATGTTGATGCTGATGGTGCTGATGATGCTGCTGCTGATGATGCTGCTACTGATGCTGAGTATGCTGATGATGATGATGATGATGATGATGATGATGATGATGATGATGATGATGATGATGATGATGGTGATGCTGTTGCCGTTGTTGATGATGATGACGATTCTGAGGCTGACGATGATGGTGTGATGATGGTGGCGATGATGGTGGCGCTGACGATGACGACGGAGGCTCAGACCCCCAATCCGTTGCCCAGAGCCCGCGGCTTGGGCGCGCCAGTGCGCGCACAAGGGATGAGCTTCTGGCCCCCCGCAGGTTGTGAACTGCCTGGTCAGGTGGCGCTTTCAACTTTGTATTTGTTGGAGGCGCCATGTGTGCTCCAGAGGAGGGATCCAGGCGGAAGGCTGGCGGATGCAAAACAGGAAGGCTCCGCCAGCTGAAGCTGGCGGAAGCGTACGGAAGCAACAGTTATGTTGACCCAGGTTTTGCAGAGCAGTACGTGTGGCTCTGTTTCCCCTTTTTCTCTCCCACCCTCGAGTCGTGGGTAGGGGGGGAGGGGAGGGAGGAGACGGGCTGTATCATTTATAGAGTTGGAGCTTCTCCGCTTTGTCCGCTCTTCCTTCTAATTACCCCGACCTCCCCTTACCCACCTCCGTCCCCGCGCAGGAGGAGGAGGAGGAGGAGGAGTAGGAGGAGAAGGAGGAGGAGGAGCAGGAGGAGGAGGAGGAGGAGGAGGAGGAGGAGGAGGAGGAGGAGGAGGGGGCGGAGGAGGAGGAGGAGGAGGAGGAGGAGGAGGAGGAGGAGGAGGAGGAGGAGGAGGAGGTGCAGGTGCCCTTCTCCCTCCTTCCCTCCTCTCTCGGCTGCGTGTGTGCGTGTGTGGCGCCTTCGTCGTACGCTTGACCCCAGCCCGACGAGTTCCCTACCACCTCATCCACGGATCCGTGATCCATGTTAGCCTGTGCCCGAAACAGGTGTGGAGGGGAGCGAGTGGATCGCGTGGGGGGAGAGAAGGCTGTGCCCTTCGCGGGGCGTGGAGGGTGCGATCGCGTGATTGCGGTGGTTTTCGGGGCGCGCGCGCGGGGTTGCGGGAGAGGGCCGCTGTCGGCCAGTGGTCGGCACGTGTGTGGGCACTTGTCGAGCCGTCCCGAGTGCTCGGTGCCGCGCAAGGTCGCGCGCAAGCGCCCCCGTCTACACACGGTGTGCCGTGTGTGTTATTCCCAGGCTCCCGTCGTCGTTTTTGTTGCTTGGATCCGTGGCCTCTGGGCCTCCCGACCCCCTCCCGGGGGCAGGGGCCTGTGTTTTGACAGCCCCTGAAGCCCGAGAGCGGCGCCCGCAGTCCGAACATGGGAAACACTGCCGTTCTGTCAAGAAAGCTCGTGGGCGGGAGCATCTCCATCTCCACGGCCTCCCGGTCTGGACTCCTGGGCCGTGGTCCCACGGATAGAGGGCAGTCTTGCGCGGGAAACGCATGCACGGGACCGAGTGTTCATGGAATCGCGTCTCCATGTCCAGACTGCGAGGGCACTTGTATGGATATGCTCGTCGCTCGTGGAGAGCGGCTGTCAGACCGCAGTGCGAGCCGCTCCGGATCTCCTATGCCGAGCTCCTCGCGCAGAGGATTCCGGGTCGCGGTCTCGCGGCGCGGAAGAATTCGGGGGGGTACGTCAGGTCGGCGCAGCCAGGCACCGGGGTGAAGGCGCCAGCGGGCGGGAACGTCCAGGTGGAGGCGGCAACGATCGGGGGGGAGAGGCTCAGGGGAAGGGGGGGGAGGCATGGGCCACCAGTCGCCCATTCATCGCCAACGGGGGCCTGATTGCCCGCCCCGCCCAGGAACGTGCGGATTCGCTTGTCGGGGGGCCATCACCAATACAGTGGCGATGTATCGCCGATTCCAGCTGCTCGATGTCCCTGTCCCCCCCCCAAGCGGGTCCCCCCCGAAACGTTCCCCCTCAGGGGTGGGCGGTCGGATCCTCCTCGCCGTCGTCGCTTCTGTTTTTTGCTGGGGTCCTCTGGAGATCTCTGCGTCGCCAGGGCTGGACGTGGCGTCAAGAGCTGACCAGGACACTGGCCAGGATACGCCCGGGGAGCGACCTGGGGACCGAGCCTGCGCGGGGCGACAGGCACCCCGAACGGAGCACGGCGCCCAGTGGCGAGGCGTCCCGAGTCCGGGCGACGAGACGGCAATTTCTCCACAAGCGCGCCTGGCACAGATTCTGCCGAGTCGGCTGGATTTTCCGGGCCAGGGGGCTGCGGCTTGCTGGCAGCGCACTCGTTTTCTCACGTGACACGGATTCTGCATGAGCCTGCCTATCGCATGCCGGTGTGCACCCTCCCAGTTCGCATCGCTACATGTCGATTCGCATTGCTGCTGGCGCATCTTCGAGCCGAGCAGGGATGGTAGCGTTCCGCACTCCCTCTCCTCCTCCTCCTCCTCCTCCCTCCTCCTCCCTCCTCCTCCTCCTCCTCCTCCTCCTCCTCCTCCTCCTCCTCCTCCTCTCCTCCTCCCTCCTCCTCCTCCTCCTCCTCCCCCTCCCCCCTCCTCCTCCCTCCTCCTCCTCCCTCCTCCTCCTCCTCCTCCTCCTCCTCCTCCTCCTCCTCCTCCTCCTCCCCTCCTCCTCCTCCCCCCTCCCCCTCCTCCCTCCTCCTCCTCCTCCTCCTCCTCCCTCCTCCTCCTCCTCCTCCTCCTCCTCCTCCTCCTCCTGTCGGTCGGATCATGCGAATCCGACAATTGGGTACCAAAGTACACCGCGAAGCCGCAGGTCTATGGTCCACGGGTGCTCTCCCTCAGACCATATGGATATCAAGCCATAGGAACTCCTCCTTCACGTTTGGTTGCTATCAGGAGGCAGGCCAGTGCGTCGCTGGCGGGCACCAACAGAGGCAGATGCCTCACCTCCACTCTGGCCTGCACCATGCAGGAGAGGGACCCCGACATCCAGCTCCCTGCCAACCTCATTCAGACCTGGTTTGATATCTGACTTACTCGGCCAGAGTTACATCCAGCCATTCGGCTCGCCTGGCCAACCATCAAGGCCCAGGTCATCAGCGTCACGAAGACCACTTAGAACAGAGTGCGCGGCCCCATCGGAGCCGTTATTGCTACCCTATGGCAGGTGGGATGGAAACCCGCCAGAGGCGTGGGATCGACCCACAGATCAGGGCACATATACCTTCACTTTCCCAGCCTCTGGCTCCCAGGACTTCCCATAGGGCTGACGCAGTGGAACTCATAGACGAAGTCATCCAAGACAAGAAGCTTCAGATGTGGTGCAAGGCTTCGGACCAAATCGACTCCCACGATCTTCAGCAGGGAGCGGACATGCTCGGAGTGGTGCGAGAGTTGCGCCGACACGAGAACAACAGGGACCAGGATCTGTGGGCCACGACGTTGACAGTTGCCAGGGGAGGACAATGGCCCCGAGACAGACAGTTCGCAACAGGCTACTCATGTTCTCGTGTCTGCAAACGTTTTGGAAAAAGGGCCAGAGACGGCCTATCATCGAGCATGGGAGTGCGACACAAATCAAGGCCACGAGGACTACGATCGTTCCCATAGCCTCACTCCTCGGGCTGCCGCCTCCTATGAGGCTGAACCCTCGTATTGGCTTCGGGGAGTCCCTGCGAGAACCCTCACTTGTGCTACATTCTCGGAGGAGCAGGTCTTGGAGAACAGCTTCTGCACTTTCGCTGACCCGAGTCAGCTTTGTCGGCCTCCGGAGACCCTTCTCAAAACCTTTCGGGGCGGCTCTGGTGGTCAGTCCAGTAGTGACCCTAGGCGTAGGCGTTGTGGCTCGGCCATTGTGGCCCTCGAGCAGAGATCGTCTGACCCTAGCTCTTGGGTTCCTACTTGGGGAGCTTACTCTCTCGCACAGAGTGTCTAGAGCTCCGACCACTTTATTCCGCGTCGCCCCCCCCCCCCCCCCGCGTCCCCAGCGCCAGAGTGGGACCCCCGCGCCGTGGCTCTCTGCCCCGAGCCCCCCCGCGTCCCCAGCGCCCGAGCGGGAGCCCCGCCCGGTGCCCCCTCCGTCGCACCCCCCCCGCGTCCCCAGCGCCAGAGCTGGACCCCCGGCCCGTGGCTCTCTGCCCCGAGCCCCCCCGCGTCCCCAGCGCCCCAGCGGGAGCCCCGCCTACTGCCCCCTCCGCCACGAATGCTTTAAATCCGCGTGGCGTCCTCCCCCCCGCGTCCCCAGCGCCAGAGTGGGACCCCCGCGCCGTGGCTCTCTGCCCCCGAGCCAGCCCCCGCGTCCCCAGCGCCCCAGCGGGAGCCCCGCCCCACTGCCCCTCCGCCGCTGAACCGCTTTCTTCCGCGTCGCAACCCCCCCCTCCCCCCCGCGTCCCCAGCGCCAGAGTGGGACCCCCGCGCCGTGGCTCTCTGCCCCGAGCCCCCCCGCGTCCCCGCGCCCACCCAGCGACCCCGCCTCATTCCCCCTCACGCCACACGCTGTATTCCGCGTCGGCACCCCCCCCGTCCCAGCGCCAGGAGTGGGACCACCCCGCGCCAGTGGCTCTCTGCCCCGAGCCCCCCGCGTCCCCAGCGTCCTAGCGGGAACCCCCTCCCAGTGCCACCCTCCCGCTTTCTTCCGCGTCGCGAACTCACACCACCTCCCCCCCACTTCCTCCCTCGCGTCCCAGCGCCCCCATTGGGCCCCGCCCCGTGCCCCCTCCGCCCCGACACTTTATTTTCTTCCGCGTCCGCGAACGCAAACACCATCTCTCCCCTCCCCCACCCCCGTCCCTCAGCGCACCGAGTTGGACCCCACCGGCCCGTGTCCCCTCTGGCCCCAAGCCCCGCCCAGTGCCCCCTCCGCCCCGACCATATTATCCCTCGTCGCGACGCACACCACCTCCACCCCTCCTCTCCACGCCCCCAGCGCCCCAGTGGGATCTCCGCCACGTGCCCCGTCCGCTCCGAGCACTGTATTCCGCGTCGCGACGTACACCACCTCCCTCCCCCCCCACCTGGGAGTTGGGCCCCGTTGCTGGGCCCCGAGGGGCGATGTTTTGCCCCCATCCTCCCCCCTCCTCCTCCACCTCCTCCTCCTCCCCCTTCCTTTTTGGGCAAGAGCCATGGCACACGTGCCACTTGTTGGCCCCTCTCGGGACGGAGAGACGGCTCCCAGAGCAGAGCTCCGTGTTTTCATTCTGTCATTCGAAATGCTTCACATGCCAGTTCAGTACATACTGTACCGCCTCCCATTGTTCCTTGCCTGGGGGCGAGGTCGTTTCTCGCGAGCTGCGCCGAAGGAGCAGAATTCAGACCTGTGAAAGAGCGTGTTCTACCGCTGCTGGCGGAAAACCGGGGGGGGGGTCACTACCGGTTCGAACCCCTCCCCCCCCCACCCCCCCCCCTCCGGAAAACCGGGGGGGGTCACTTACCCGTTCGAACCCTCCCCCCCCAAGTTCATCATAAAAGGGGGGGGGGGTCCACCCGTTCGAACCTCCCCCCCCCCCCCCCCCCCCCCTCGAAAACCGAGTGGGGGTGCGGACAGTGGTGGGGACGGTGTTGGTGGGGACAGTGGTGAGGGGACAGCGGGACAGTGGTGGGGACAGTGGGACAGTGGGACAGTGGTGGGGACGGTAGTGGTGGGGACAGTGGTGGGGACAATGGTGGGAACAGGGGGGACAGTGGACAGTGGTGGTGACGGTGGTGGTGGGGACAGTGGTGCGGGGACAATGGGAATGAGGTGGAAACAGTGGGACAGTGGAGGGTACAATGGTGGTGGGGACAGTGGTGAAGGCGGTGGCGAGGACGGCGGTGGGACAATGGGACAGAGGTACAGTGGGGACAGTGGTGGGGACAGTGGGGACAGTGGTGGGAACAGTGGGACAGCTCAGTGGGACAGCGGAGGAGTCAGTGGGACAGTGGGGACAGTGGGGATAGTCGGGCAGTGGTTGGGGCCGTGGAGACAGTGGGGAGAGTGGAACCGTGGTGGGAACAGTGGTGGGGACAGCGGGGACAGTGCGACAGTGGTGGGGGCACTGGTGGGGACAGTAGGGACGGTGGTGGAACCAGTGGGGACAGTGGTGGTGAGGACAGTGGTGCTGGGAACAACAGTGGGGGATGTGATGCGGACGGTGGTAGGGACCGGGAGTCGTTTGCTGGCGGTGCGTGTGGGGGGGGGGGGTCGAACCGGTAGTGACCCCCTCCGGGTTTTCGAGGGGGGGGGGGGTTCGAACCGGTAGTGACCCCCCCCGGTTTTCCGGATCCGGAGGGGGGGGGGGGGGAGGGGGGGACCGGTATGGGCCGGGGGGGAGGGAGGGGGGGGGGGAGGGGGGGGTTCGGGGGCAGCAGGGGGGGGATTTTTTCGGAGGGGGGGGGGCGACCCCCGGGCTCCGGAGGAAAAGGTAGGACATTTTCCAGTAAAGCGGCGGTGGATCACGCTCTCTCAGACCTGTGGAAGGAGATCCGCTTCCTTGTCGCCCGCAGGACCTCCCGTGTGCCCCTCTCTTGGACGGCCTCTCCCTCTCTCGGACGGCCTCCCACCTTGAGACCGCTTTGATCCGTGCTAGGGTGCAAAGGAGTTTAATCGACACGCTTGCTATCGATGTTTGGGAGGGCGAGTGGGCGGGGGGGGACAGTCAGCGCAGACTCTGTATTTCCAGGCGGACCAGAAACCTGGCCACTTCCAGTCACGTTTTTGTTAGAGAAGGGCTCAGATGGTGCCAGGAGCTTGCCACCAGTACTGCCCTCCTT